CCCCCAAAAAAAAAACCCAAAAAACCCCAAAAAACCAAAACCCAGAGGTTACTGAACCTTTACAAGGATTTCCTGTACCCGACAGGACAGGTGGAAAGCTCTAAAGCACAGCCTGGTAATTTAGTCTACACATGCCAGATTCAAGATTTGGCCAAAAACCTTAACTGAACCAACATAATAGCTGCCACAAAAGCTGACAAACTCTAATCAATACCTTCCATGTTTAAGACAGAACAAACCGCCTCTCTGCTAAACATTTTTATGCCTGCAAAGAGTAAATTACAACACATTTAAGAAGCTCGAGTTTTGCTTGGGTTAAGAACCCCAGGCAGAGCCCCTAATTTTTCAACAGCAGCACATGCTTAACACAGAGCAGCAGTGATGAAAGCAGTTGAGACACCTGTGAGATACCACAAAACACATTTAAAATAAATAAGATATTCACCAAGGCTGCAGACATGTGTGTTGCAAGAACTAACGAAGCTTTAAAAAATCATTGAAAATGTTAACACAATGAGCACAAAAGTATTGAATGTGTTAAAGTATTTTTGCATGACTTCATCCTAGATCTTTTTATTCCCTAATTTGACTCTGTTTTTTAGTCTAGATTATAAAGAAGATTTAAAACAGGGAGCTTTTTTTTTCCCTTCCAATGAAGGCTTCCCATTAATAAAAAGGAAACAAAGAAAATGAAGAAAGTGAGTAGTAAAACTTTTACAACATAATAAAATATTTCAGAATCCCAGTGCAGCAGGATTGGAATTGTCTAAAGATGCTGAATTATGATCGGTTGTCATATAAAGTTCAGTCCAGAGTATTAGCAATCATATTCTCTAGCAACATGTATATAATTGGGAGATCTTCATAATAACCCTCAGTTTTAAAGGCTCATAAAAACCGCGTTTTACTCATAATTTGCAGGAGGAAAGAAGAATTCTTAAAGTAACATCTTTTTCTCAGTAAGAAAGACTTTGAAGGCAATACTCTGTGTATTTTAAAGTAAGCAACCCTAACAGCTCTCCTTTCTTTCACAGTTTTCAGTGGGGTATTATACAAACACTCAGTTTAAAAAGATAAAAACATATCTATAGTACACATACTAGAAAGCAAATTAGTATCACATAGAGAGGAACCCTCTGAAAGTATATTGGAAGCAAAGCACGTTACATTATTTTTTAATACAAGTACGGAGGTACTTTAAGGTAAATATCTTCATGTAACATTGTAACCAAGAGTAAAACGAGCCGTGGCATTCACACACACAAAAACCAGAAAGGGTGTTGGTTTTATGAAATGTGTGTAAGCTACATTTATCCACCTCCAAAATATAGCATGAAAATAATTATAAAAATATTATCAGCACTTGACACTCTCAGCAGACTCCCAAATCTCTAATTTTCTCAGTTTCTCCCCTAACATTCTAAAACAAAATCCTTTCAGTTTGTTAGAGTCAACTACCGAGGGCCATAAACTTCCAATTATCCCAACCACTTTCAGACTTGCCAAGGCAAAGCTGAGGTAATGAATAGGATGCTGAAGTTTCTATATGGAATAGTAAAATACCACCTGTCATCAAACCCAGATATTTTAACTTTATACTTTTGCCAGAGTAAAGCCTTTTTGTAAAGAAAATGTGTTTGTTTTCAAATAAAGCTACTTCAAGCTGTTTGGGGAAGCACACTAAGTAGTAATAACAACAACAACAATTTCCATTTGGATTTCAAAACCTGGTGAAACAAAACCAGCACATGTCAAGCCTAGTGTTTTCCTACCTGGAACAGGTAAGGACCAGCTCTCAAATGCCACCTTGGGATAGTTCAGACTAGTAATCCCGTTCATGTTTAGATGAGACACCAGTATGAACAAGAAAGAAAAAAAAAAAAAAGTCTACCCTGTCCTTCTCTTCGTTTATTAGCAACGCCTACAGCGGTGGTTAAGACCCGGTAAGCAAGCCAAGGATCCAGAGGACCAGCCTAACCCAAGCCCACTGCGAGAGAGAAACAGGTTTAAGAAGAGACTTACTGCTTGCCATGTGACTGGGGGAGGTATGCTGCCCATTGGGTGTGCTGGAGGTGAGGTCAATGGCCATGCTGGAGTGCTCCCTTTCGGGCGAAAGCTCATTGTCACCTGCTTTCACAAAACAAGTCCCCCGTAAGTTTCCATCCCCTTCTTCAGCAGAGCAACACAACGATTAACAAGTATGACACGCTCGCTCCCTTTGCCCTTCCCTCCTTTTACCAGCCAAGTCTTCACAGCCTGCAAAATCTGGACTCTCGGTGGCCGCAAGTAAACATTTGACTGACTGATTTTAAGAGCCCCTCCAAACCTAGCCACCAGTCTTCTATGCATATGCCTGTGACAGACCTTGCCCCAGCTGCTTTCTATTTTACTTTTCTATTTGCAGACCCTGAGAACTGGGGCTAGGCAGGAGAAGACTAAAGTAGCACTTTAACACATAGACCTCCCTCCGCAAAGCTCTCGGTTAACTGACAGTTAAGCAGAGCACTCACACTAAGACATTTTGCCCTGACACAGAAAACAGGAGAAATGCACAGTGAAATGCATAAAAAGTTTTTGGTTGCAATTTGAATTTCTGAAGATGAACTCTCTCTCACATTTGCAAAGTTCATTCATCCTCACTAAATATTTAAAGCTAGAGCTACACACCCATGCACCCCTCCCCATGCATTTTTCAGTCATACACAAAGTTTATGTTTAAATGCTATTAATTCAGTGTCATCTCAATGCAAAGACCATACACAAGGTTTCAACACAAGGTTTCAGGTGTCTGCAGTATAGAAAGGATAGTGGGAAAAGGAAAGTAATTCAGAATAATCAAATGAAATGATTACTTACATGTTATATATCCATCAGCAGCCTCTGCTTCCATAGTCAAAGTGCAGTGCTGCAAGGCAGAAAAGTACACCCTCAAAGACGCCTGTCAGTATCAACCATTAAATGATTAAACTTACTTAAAGCCCTAAGCAGTTGCCCATTTTACTGCTGTTGCAACCATTGCCTAGAGAAACATGCAAGTGTACTGCATGTGCTCATTTGCAAATCACTGAACTCTTCCTGCAAATTAACCGAGTAGAGAAATTCAGCTGCCTCCTGGGCAGGCAGCACTGGGATCACCTTGGTCTGACCGTGCCCCTCTCTGTCCCCCACTCGCATTTTTACCTGATCTGAGAGTTTTTTTCCCTGACTTTCCACTTGTTGTGTCCAAGCCAGGATGGTAACGCTTTATCAATTATCAGCTCTCGCAGCCAGAACAGACTTTGAGGAGATGGATACTATTAACAATTGCTCTTTTCACACCCACTCCAAGAGACTCCATCCTGATCTAAACAAAATAAAGCCCTCCAGTGTCTGTTTCCCTTCGAGAGAGTTATTACAACCCTTTGTCTCGCACCACCGTATGCGCACACACACCTGTACACACACCTGTTCACTCTAACCCTATTTATCTGCCACAGCATGGGGCCAAACGTCACACTTAATACTCCCAGATCATGCATTTTGTGGCGTTAAGCAATCTTAAAGTTTCTGGAAGCACTTTGCTGACACAGAACAAGCTATTACTTTCCAGAAACCCAAGTAACTGTATAGAATGACACCCCCTAGCTATCATTTGATATATATTGAGGGGGGGGAAAAAAAAAGAGAGATCAATAATCGTAACTATGTTCTTTTAAGTGGAAAAGTTAAGAATCTGACATGACCAGAGGAGAATTTTATTTCCTCTCTCCCTCCACGGCCTCTTTTTTGCCTTTAGTTTCAAAACTCTCACTGCACCAGGCAGCTAAATTATTCACAATGAGCCATTTCTGTATTGATCGCCAAGTATATTTAGCCCTGGCTCCTGGAATTTCTCCATTACTTACTGGAAAACAGGCAGCTTCACTTCTTGTCTCCAAAACCACTTCCCTCCCCCACCCTTAACCTTCTTTCCTCCCCCCCTCCCCTTTCCCCCAATAAATAAATACTTTTCTCTGTGTTCTTCTTTGGTATAAAGCAGATCAAATTCCCAAGGCGTTCAGCACATAACACTTAAATTTCAACCTGCCCAGCTGCTACCAAACTCTCTTCAATTACTGATTTTCACATAACTCTTAAAAAGAAATCTCGAAAAAAAAGTTTTCAAAACAGGTAAGCCGCTTCCTCAAGCCCTTCAAAATTACCTTATCTTCCCCCTAGTCCAGGTAGGCAGGCACACACTGAGAAAAAGAAAGAAACATCAGAAGCAACAGGGAAAGATCATCCCAGCCAATGAAGTGGAAGGAAAGAAAGGGGAGGAAGGGAGGAGGAAGAGAAAGAAAGACAAAAAGAAACACAGAAACATCCTTAACTGAAATTAAAACACGGTTTGATTTTTATTTTTTATTCCTTCAAAGGGGGGGTGGGAAGGGGGGCGGGGAGGGGAGAAAAAAGTTTGGTCACCGTTTTTAGGCTGGTGATGGCAAATCCCAGCTGCTAAGCCTCTTCTCCACAACGAATGGAGAGAGAGAGTTTTGCTCGGGCTGAAGACACAGCAAGATGGGGAAAGTTTAAAAAAATATTTTTTTAAAGAAAACTTAATACAGTAATTGAAAGCATCAATTTAAAATAAAATCAAATTGCAACCCTAAAAAGTTTTACTATTTCAAGTCAACCTCATGTTGTCTTAATCTGCAGAACTGCCCTTCAGTAGAACTCACAGACAGGCCATTAAATGGCATATACATGCAACCAGGAATTAGTATTACAAAAATGCATTAGAATGCAATAGAAGATGCATCCATTGGAAAACAATTTCTTCCACTTGGAAACAACCTAGCAGCGTATGATGCTGGAGTAAAGAATATTAACGTTTTGGCCACTTCAGAGTGAAAGGCAACTAGATCCATCAATCCTATGTGAGCGCTTGGCTACTAAGCAGAAGATGGACACCAGCAAATGATTTAATTTTTGTCTTTGAAAAAAAAAATACCCCAAGGATAAGACCCACCCCATTTGTGAAGATATGGCTGCTGAAAATCTGTGCAAACATAAGAAGCAAACATACCAAGCTTAAGGTATTTCAGCAGCCAGGAAAGGAAGATCATTCCTTATATGATTTATTACACAAAACTGAAAACAAAAATACTTTAAATTTTGGATTGATTTATCCATAAAGTAGCATAACATCAAGAAAACAGCCATCACACAAATTATTTTAATTTTGTTCCTTAACTTTTTATCTCCCAAACTGAGATTGTATTTGGTTTGTATTAACTGCAGCAAATGGCATGGATGCAACATCATTTCACAGTGAAACCAAGAAAATCAGGTTTGCTACACTGTAGGATAATGAACACAGGAGCAGAAGATGTTGCTTAAATTACTAATTCTGGTCCCTTGTAATTATAAGCAACTAAGCTGTCTGTATTAATTCAAATAGATACTTGACCAGCATGCACACTCACCACCACCCTATAATAAATTTGAGGTCAGTAAAGTACTAAAAGTCACAACTGTAATGTCAACAATAAAAGACATCAAAGACACCCACTAATGTCCAAGGCTATCGCAGCGACTATGTAAAACACAACTCCCCAGTAATCTTAGGAAATAAATCATGGCCCTGTGCTACAGAGGAAGGCAGATGAAGCTTACACTTCCCCATAATTGGCTAGCTACGGTGTTACTTGCAATTACTAAAGTAGGACTAATCCTATACTAGAATTCCCTGCTCTGCCAACATGCACCTAAGTATTCTAGTAACCTTCATCTTGAACACTATATGCTTTATTATATAAACACGTCTCTCGGATGGCAGGAACGTAAAGTCCCATTATTCCTGAGTAGAGGTGGTACTATCTTACCCTTTTTAAGAATAATAGAAACAACACAATTTCTATGATGACTTGGAAAAGTATCATCTTTTTCCCTTTAACAGAGATGACTTCCCATGTGATTGGGTGCAGCAGTATCATTGCCTGAATTACTGTTGCTCCGCAGAGCAAAGAATATGTTTCTGGAAAAGAAAATGATAGCAATAGAAGTGTTCTGCTTTTATTTTGACATGTAACTTCAGGCAAAGCACCAAGAAACCACCTAAAGCTCAACTGCCAGGTATGCTATACAAACTAAGCCCAATTGCTTCTGATAAACGAGGAATACATGATGGTGACCAGGGCATATTTTTTTCCTTGACAACTTTCATGAATAGCAATGCAAGAAAACTTCGGAGGGAGAGGGTTGGGAGCTGCCGGGCTGCTGGTCTGATTGAACATTCGAAGTACGTATGAGGTAATTTCTTTATGTAAGCGCTACGCTTACGGAGAAAGCCCGGTTCTAACGACCGCCGCGGTGGGAGGCTGGGGAGCGGCGTCGAGGCGGAGGGAGAGGGTTGGGAGCTGCCGGGCTGCTGGTCTGATTGAACATTCGAAGTACGTATGAGGTAATTTCTTTATGTAAGCGCTACGCTTACGGAGAAAGCCCGGTTAAAATAAAAGCCTTTCCACGCCGTTTTACCCCCTCTCTTGAGAAGTCAGTGTGGTGAGGAAAGGGGGAGAACCCCGTCTTCTTTTCCTGAGGAAAACTCTTGCGCTGCCTCACAGCCAAGGCTGAAGTAACGCCTCCAACCGCCACAGCCCCAGCTCGGGGGCCTGACCCAAACCCACCACAGCCAGTCGGCACCTCCGTGCCAAGGCAGCACCCAGTATCTTCCGTGCCAATGGTGAATGCTTGATGCGTCTTCTCACGGGAGCTTTCCCTTGCCTTCGACAGGTCTTGGATCAGCTGCAGTAGCATCATCCTTTTTTCTTCGAGCATGTCTTTGTTGAAGCTGAACTGCTGGGTGCCGGTGACCGTTGTAATGCCATCATTAGGCACCAGAGTTAACCTTGCATTAAGAAGCTGTGGTTGTGTATGTATGTGATGCGTTATAAACACAGATATTACTAGATTTGCAGAGTTAGGAGTATAGACACGAGGAAGCATCAGAATTCAGGCTGTCCCTACATCCTTGAGCCTCTTCACCCAACAGAGCAGCCGACGGGAATAACTTTTCACTGGTACCAAATGGGAATAACACACATTTTGCCAGTGAGTTTTGGGCATGCACTGACGAGCGTACCTTCATCACTACATAGCCACATTCTTTGTCTATCAAGAGACTCTAGGAACCTGTAAGTTTTGCTTTCCACCAAAATTAACTACGGCCTTAACTCTTGCTCCAGCTACATGCGAGCGCAATGCTGTTGCTAGAGGCAGTAAAGTAAACCCCAGGTTTTCTTAGCTCAGCCACTTGACATTCTGCTTTGTAGTGGCAGAGCCGCCCTTTCCTGAGAGAGGGAGACAAACCCCACTTTTAAAAAACACATTATTCAGCCAGCCAAAGGCACTGAAGTTAATAGACAGCTCTCTCCCCAGCACTACAAATTTTAGCCAATTAGTCATTACGCCACATCTGTGAAGTGGGTTAATTTAAGTCTTCTCATTTTGCATAGGAAGGAGGCAGAAAGGTTAAGGGACTGGCCCAAGGCCACAAAGAGCACTCAGAGCTGAGCCTAGAAAGCAGACTTCTTGTTTCCCACGCCTACGTTTCAACAACTAGACTTGGCTTGCCTACTTCAGAAAATAGACTGGCATAGCTATAGCTGTGTAATTATACCATAACAGTTTATGCCGGAATAACCCTCCTTGCGGACATTCGCCTCCAGATGGAAAGCTGTCCAAATGAATTCGTTCAACAGCACACACTTTGAGTTTTGCCTTCTTCCCTGCTCTCCCCGCCCCCGCCTTTCATTTTGGGGGGTCAAAATTCCTGAGATGCGGGTCTCGGCAGCATTTTGAAGCCTTTGATCACTTTTACAGACCATTTAAAAGCAGGGACAAATGCAAAACATGTCATTGAAATGCTACAAGTCTTGTTGTCAAGAT